GATGTGGTTACAGCTTATCTGTACGGGTCACTTGATAATAAAATTTACATGAAAATCCCTGAAAGATTTAAAATGCCTGAAGCATATTCAAAATCTCGGGAAATGTACTCAATCAGATTACACTAATTTTTGTACGGTTTAAAATAATCTAGGCGCATGTGGTATAATCGCCTCAGTGAATATTTGCTGAAAGAGGGTTATATAAATGATGTTATTTGTCCATGTATTTTTATAAAGAAAATGGCTTCAGAATTTGTTATACTTGCTATTTATATTGATGACATAAATCTTGTTGGAACTCCAGAAGAGCTCCAAAAGGCAATTGAATATCTTAAGAAAGAATTTGAGATGAAAGATCTTGGAAAGACAAAACTTTGTCTTGGTCTGCAAATTGAACATTTAGCAGACGAGATCTTTATCCATCAATCTGCCTATATAGAAAGGGTATTAAAATGCTTTTACATGGACAAAGCGCACCCATTGAGTACACCAATGGTTGTTCGATCACTTGAAGTGAATAAGGATTTGTTTCGACCTCCAGAAGAGGACGAGGAACTCCTTGGTCCCGAAGTACCCTATCTCAGTGCAATTGGTGCACTAATGTATCTTGCTAATGCTACAAGGCATGACATAGCATTTTCTGTTAATTTACTAGTAAGATATAGTTCTTCTCCTACACGGAGACATTGGAACGAGATTAAGCATATATTGCGATATTTAAAGGGAACTCTTGATATGGGTTTGTTTTATGCTAACAAAGATAGTGCAGATCTTGTTGGTTATGCAGATGCAAGTTATTTATCTGATCCCCATAAATCTAGATCTCAAACCGGATACGTGTTTACATATGGAGGTACTATCATATCATGGCGCTCCACAAAGCAATCTATTGTTGCTACTTCTTCAAATCATGCTGAAATAATAACTATTCATGAAGCAAGTATGGAATGCATACGGTTGAGATCAATAATTCATTTTATTCGAGAAAAATATGATTTGGAATGTGAGAAAAGACCCACAATTTTATACGAAGACAATGCTGCATGCATAGCCCAATTGAAGGGATGATTTATAAAAGGAGATATAACGAAGCACATTTCACCAAAATTATTCTACACACACGATCTTCAGAAAAATGGTGATATTGATGTGCAACAAATCCATTTAAGTGACAATCCGACAGATTTATTCACTAAATCTTTACCAACTTCAACTTTTGAGAGGATTGTATACAAGATTGGAATGCGGAGACTCAAATATTTGAAACAAGGTTTTCATCAGGGGGAGTAAAATACGCGATGTACTCTTTTTTCCTTACTAAATTTTTTCCCACAGGGTTTTCCTTATAAGGTTTTTAATGAGGCATCGAGCAATGCGTATTACTAAATATGTGTACTCTTTTTCCTTCACTAGGATTTTTTCCCACATGGTTTTTTCCTAGTAAGGTTTTAAAGAGGCATAATACCTTTTAATGAACATCCAAGTGGGAGTGTTATGAAAATAATTATATTGTGGATGTTCATTTATTACTCCGCTATAGATAATCTTCCTGAAGAAGATTATCCAATTAGTGCTCTGTTGAAATTTATCTACAAGCAGCTGATGCATGCAGGTTGCAAGGAGCTCAATGAAATGATTTGCAGCAGCTTCTTATTAAACAGGCAGGTTGCAAGTAGCTCAATGAAATGATTTGCAGCAACTTCTTATTAAACAGGCAGGTTGCAAGCAGCTCATGCAGACATCTTACAAGCGTCTAAAGAAAAGCCTTGCAGCTGCTTCCTGAAAAGTCTAGCAACTGCTTCCTTTCTTTTATAAATAGAGGAGCTTTTAGTTCATTATGTACATAAGTTTGAAGTTGAATAATATATTAGTTTTTCTATATACTTGTCTTTACTTTACTGTATTTATTTTATAACAAGAGTATTAATTTTCTATAATTTTCACAAAAAAACAAGAGTATTAGTGTTATGTTATTTGTCAGAGGAAATTAATATACATACACTTTTACTTCTAGAAACTAGTCAAACAACCAGATGACTGTTGACTGCAGCGTATATTGAAAAACAAAAACAAAAAATTGAAGTGCTCGACTATATTAACCCTATCAGCATAAAACTATTACAATAATTTTTCTGAGAAATTTCTTTCTCTCGCTCTGATTAAAGTTTCTCATATAAGAAGATGACGGCACTATCGGAGCTCAACGATGACATTGTTCGTAGCATGACCGTAGCATCAGTCTTCTCAGATTTTGTGAGTAATCCCATCGAATTTTCAATATGGAACTGCCCTTGAATTCTAACGTTGTGATTTCTGGTGAACTCTTACGGTTTAATCGCCCGAGAATTAAGTTAATCAATTAATCCAAGCTAGCTGGTGTGTGTTCTGTATATTCAGCTCTATTCGTGTTCTTTACTATTGCCCTGAGAGTTTTACTGAACGATTGACAAGCATTCTGTTACAAAATAACGGCCTATTTTTTAAAATCAAAGACCTGACACTTGTGAATTTTTAACACACTTCTCTGGCGTGGTAGCATGTGAACTTACTCGACTTTGGGGGAAGGATATTCAATTTCCTTTTACCTAATAATACCGGAACAATGTTAAACAGAAGTAGAAGGGCTGAATCAGGAAAGAGCAAGTAGCAAACACACTGGCAAATATAGAATTTTAATGTTGAAAAATCAACAAACTGGCTTTTATTTTTTGGTGAATATCGCGGATTATGGGCTATCTTGTTTGCACCTTGAGTAATCTACCAGGCAACTGTCCAACCAACAAGCAGGAATTTCATCAAGGGGTCTAAAAAGATGCTCTCTTATATCTAGAGGAGGAATCACTGATTTATAAATACACAAAAAGAATTTTCACCAATATACACTATATAATTTTTCGGCAAAGGGAATTCAGTTGAACCCCTTTAGTAAGTGTACTGCTACTAGGGCTGCAGCAGATGAGTTCATGGCTAATATTATAGTGGGAGATTCGATCCTGGGATTTCTAGGTTGTTACTCCCATCCCTCAACTACATGGCGATCCCCTTGGGAACTAGTATCAAAGAACTGATTTTTATTGAAGTAGAACACTTCGGCTTGAGATGGATATATGATCTAAAGAATTTCGCGTTTAACAACTTTGACAACTTTACATAGTGGACTTCGAGTTTGAGTTGATAGAAAGATCATGATCAGGGCACTATTTTCAATATATTGTAAATCTAGTGGTGTCTAATGACTGATTGTTATATCGCATCCTACAATTTTTATCCCCTATACAAACTCAAGGCTAGATGTCTAATGAGTCCCTTTTGTTGGTATAAACTTGAAAATGTGAATAGTCTAGATAAATTCATGGATTTTATTAGCTCCTTCAACTTCTACTAATAATCACAGGTTCATTATACCAGTGTTGTCAAAGGCTTCTTTAAAGCGCGCTTAAGCTTTGAAGCTCTGAAAAATTCAGTTAGGGCGCTTCGCGTTGCCTAAGCTGCACTTAAGCGTAGGCAAGGCACTAAGGCGTGCGCGTCATCGCCCATGAGTTCTGTCCTGAATCGAGGGTACTAAACAACAAATATAATCTGCAAATAAGTGTATTAGTTGCTGAGGGAAACATTATAAATGAGTTGTTTCTTTTTTGTTGAGTTACATATATAATTTTATTTTTGTTTGTCATTGCACCTTTTTTTTAAAAACTAAAGTCCACACTTAGTTGCGCTAAAGCCCCAATATACCTGGAGCGCTTTTTAGCGCTTTTCGCCTTTGACAATACGCATTATACAGGAGATTCAGCTGATGTAACTTTGGCATCCTCTGGATGCATTTTAGTCAATTTTCTCATACTTGATAAAAGAAGTATCATACATCATATAATATTGAATTCGTAAAGATTTAAGTATGTCCTCAAAGGCTCAAAGCAATATCAATTTGCCGTTTGTTTTTGTACCTATTAAGGAATTTTCTCTTTTGCAGAAAAGTTGAATTTTTTATGATAACAAATATATCAAATTATAATAATGCTCACTCTCGTTTAGACTTTGGCATAACCTATTTCGCTGAGAATCTAACAGCCTAAACGTCCCTGATGGTTAAAGTAGTTCTAGCATTTTCATGAACTCTGAAAAATGACTTAGTAGAAAGGATTTAAGAAAGAGAGGAAAAGATGCATTAACACTAGCAGCTAAAGCAAGGATGAGAATATTGGAAATTGGTTACCTTGTTCATGTGTCTACCAGCTCCCTCTCCTGGATGCATTTATTTAGCTGCAGTATAAATAGAAAATAACTATATCCATGATGCTTAATACTTTTAATATGCAGTCAAAGCAGGGGCGGATGCAGGCTTTAAGATATGATTTTAGCTGAACTCATTAGCTTTGGCCCAAACTCTATATATGTGTTAAGAAATTCACTAAATATGTACAAATATTAAATTCACAACCGAGTTACTAGCACTTGATGTCGCTATCATAGAATTCATAACCTACAAAGGTCAAATCCTGGATCCGCACCTGGGTCAACAAACCCTTTATCCTGATTAGGATAGAGGAGGTTAACAAAGAATAACTATAAGCAAGCCAAGGGACAGATCCATACTTTTCACCCTACACATTCATGCTCTTTATGCAACATCACACTTTCAATCTTTCATGACCTTTCTTTTTCTGGCCCTTATACTGGCTTGTAGCTTTACTTGAAATTCTGCAATGTACGAGATGTGCTTATAGATAATGTTAATACTTGTTTACAAAAGGTTCTTAAATCGAATCAGTAGTGATCTATATAGTTTGACAAATTGTTGTTTCAATCTATTAATTTTTAGTTTTTAGATCTCTGGCAACTTTGCTTTTACCTTGACATATCTCTTTCTTTTAGGGCGGGCAGATAAACTCACTTGATTTTCATCGGAAAGAAGATTTGCTGATAACTGCAAGTGAGGATGACTCAATTCGACTTTTTGACATTGCCAATGGGAAGTAAGTCCTTGAAACAAGCTTGCAAGAAAAGGTCTTCCTGTAATTTTCTTTTGTATCATCCACTTACAGTGCTGCGTCAGGTTATGAATCATGCCAAATTAGTGGATTAAACATCATGAATTATTCATCAGTATGGTATTTATAGTGTCGTCTGAAATTGGATTTGGGTTTATAGAACAAGACTAGAATAGGAAAAATCATAGCAACGATTCTTGAATATATGGTCGTTCTTGTTCAGAGCATAATCAGGGTACAAAACCTTAGTGTGTCTTTGTCTCCTTTATTTAAAGACCTGTTGCTTCTCCATCAGAGCATTGCCCATTTTGTGGACTTATCAGGTTCTGTCAACACCATATTGTTCCTGCTTGCAAATTCTGGCCAATGACTTCAGTCTTCACGTTCTTAAGTATTAAATTTTGTGTAGTTTTGGACTAAAATTTTGAAGTTAATGAATCTTTGCAATATCTAACGGGCATATGGACAGATTGCGCGACCTTCATCTGGCATCAAGAGTTTAGAGTTCATATAGTTGTCTTTGTTTGTGGTTATGTATTTTCAAAAAGCCACATGCATTCTTAAACTTAGCAATTGTTTATCAAAAATTCTTAAACTTAGCAATCCTTCAAGCAGTATAAGATGTTACATAAGGAGATCCTCTTCTTCTGGAAAGTGACTTATCACACCAACTCATACTTATTCTCTTCATTTACGCGGGATTAAAAAATGTGAAGAACTTCAGTAGAAGTGCATTGGAAAGACTTAGGTTCACAGGAAGATTGCATTAGGCTGCAGCAGCCATTCCATAGAAAAGGCTGAGGTTTAGAGACAAAAAAAGGGCTGAAAATTTTCGGTCATCCTAGAATTGCCCCACTGGTTGATTGGTGCGGGAAACTGAGACGTTCACTTCCAAAAGTGGCCATTATATCAAAAGAAGAGTGCAAGGACTTGACCGTGGTAGTTAAGGCCTATAGGAGACTATTTCAGAAAGTTAAGGGACTCCTGTCTTTAGGGCTCTTGAGCATGAAAAGCAACTTTAACATGATTGTTTGAGCTATGTTAAGAAGCTTTAGTGTGCCTCAAATTTTGGGCTATCTATTGGTGTCCTCCTCTGGGCTGTGGTTGTGGCTGATTTATTTTGACTGTTGATTATGTATTAAGGGAATGTGGATAAATTAGTTATTCAAATTCATTTCTAATTATCTTCAAAAAAAAATTTATCTTCATTATCTATCATTCATATGAAAGTCTGTCAACGACAGAATCTAGTGTTCGTACTAGTTCCGCACTTGACAAAACATATTAGGTTGGGGAACATATTTTTGGGGAGCATATTCTATTACCTTGTGCTTATTTCTCCATTTTGAAATGTTGAATGAATATTTATACAACTTAGGCCTCGAACTGATTCAAATCGTGATTCTGTTTGGTCCTTCAGCAAGTTTTAGCTTTTGCATAATGCAGCTAATGTCTCTATGAGCTATCTTACTAGACCAGAATATATAGTTCCTGTAAGTTCTTTTTGCCCTTCAGGTTGCTGAAGACTACATATCATAAGAAGCATGGAGCTGATCGAATATGCTTTACCCACCACCCTCACTCTGTTATATGCTCTTCAATACACAACTTGGATTTGCATGGAGGTGATTCTCTTTGGATCAACTTTTGATTTTGCATTACATGAAAGGATATTCTTACATTTTTGCTTCCTGTCTGCTGCCAGAATCTTTGCGGTACCTATCCATGTATGATAATCGATGCCTTCGTTACTTTAAGGGACATAAAGAGAGGTAGGGTGCTTTTTCCTTGGTATTTATCTCTGGAATGATTAAAAAATTGTGCATTTTCGGTAGAAAAGTTGGGGACTGACAATGGACTGCCCTGGTTGTTTTATAAATGCTTACAACAACAACTACGGCTTTGTCGCAAACAAGTTTTATAAATTCTTACTGTGTAAAAACATCTGGAATGGTTGAAAATGTGCCTAACATGCTTGATTTACTGATTTATCTTTACGCGTTTGCTCAAACAATTTATTTTGGCTTGAATAAGATGTTATGGAGATTTATACATTTTCTCTCACAATAGAAATAAAAAATGTTATAATGTAGAAGAGAAATAAATAAAGGGTGAGGACAAGATGCCCTATAAAACAGGCAAAACATAATGGACTTTTAATGGGGTGACATTTTAGGTTTATTTTATGTACAGTAACACTCATCAGTTGACAGTATATTTTTCCTGTTGTCTCCCTTCCTACCCCTTGATTTTGACATATTTATTATCTTCATATCTTAATTCCGACTTGGATGCAGGGTTGTGTCACTGTGTATGTCTCCAGTTAATGACAGCTTCATGTCTGGTTCTCTTGACCATAGTGTCAGAATCTGGGATCTTCGTGTAAATGCCTGCCAGGTTGGTATCACATTTTTTACTAAATAAGCTTGGTCTTCAATTATCAAAGAAATATTAGACTATCTTAGTGACTTTAGTTAGCCTATAATACTTTGAGGAAGTGAATCCTTTTTTTTGGGAATAATGGTGGTGTGACTAATGTGCTAGGTACCTTGACTAATCCGCTGGGTACCTGTTACTTTTTGTCTGCGTAGGTACCGGGTAACTCTGCCCGTCAAGGCTTAGATAGATGGAAAGAAATTACCTAATGTTTTCTTTGCCTCTTTTGCGACTTGAACTCTGGTCACCCATGGTCCGTTCCAGATTCATTGACTATTAGGCGACACCCTTTAAGGAAGTCCAATTGGGTTAGTAACATAGGAGAAAAGGTGTTATTTGGCACACATTCATTGTGAAATGCCCTCCCTTATCTAGTGAGGCCAAATGTACATTGTACTGAGTGATGGGATTTAGCAATGTTCGGTACTATTCCAATCCAATGAACAAAACAAAGAAAAACTGAAACTAATTAAATGAACTTCCCGACTAGTTGAAGAATTAGAACAATTATTTCTAGAACTGAGAACCACAAACATTTATCTTTTAAGGTTTATTTTCTCTGGCTGCACTTGGCAGTTGTAAGTTGTAACTGTGATTCCCATTTATGATCTCTGCAGCCGTCTCCTAAAACTGTTATATCATGTTAGGCACAACTTAAAAGTATTATTTGGTGTCATGTCTTCATACAAGAACGAGATTTTTAATGAAGGATAATTTGTTCTTTAGGAACAGACATTAGTGCATAACTGCATTTTATCCGAATGTTATTTTAGATTACTCAGGCTAGGTAGTCATCGAACTGAAAGAAGTGTATTTATTGAAAACCAATTGTGCAAGTCACAAAATCAGTTACATATATTGTAAAATTATTATCATTATTAAAAAGATACTAGATTTATGTTTTNAGAAACTAGATTTATTTTTTTCTTTTTGGGAATGTGATAAGAGGTTATTTCGATAAATACTTGAATTTTATAATAAATATGCAATATGTAAAAAAGAACAATTTGATGACGTTATTGACAATTAAAAAAATAAAAATGAAGTCTCTTGTAGTAGTATCTTTTAGAGTTGATATTTGTTATAAAGAGTGGATCAAGCCACTTTTTAAATTCATTAGGCTTGAACTACTCTGAATGTATGATTATATTTTAACATGTACTTAGCAAAGTGAGATAATTAGATGATGAGAACTTATAAAAAATTATCTTAACCATGGATGTTAATGTTGTCGAAGCTTCGGTGAGTAGAGTTATCTCGATGGTAGAAGCTAGCAGGTAGCCCAGTGCCTTGGCAAGATAAGTACAAGATGGTCTAAACACAATCTTTACAAAACAAAAAGGAAAAAAATTAAGATTTGGCTTTAGACCACCAATATCGTTGAACCGTCTCTGAATCAGTTCTTATTCCTCAATACTCTTCAAGCTTGAACTTATATGTTAATTAATGATCTCGGATGTTAATTCTCCAGCGATTATAACATAACATTTCGATAGCCTACCACTAATAGACGCGTACTCCCAAGTTCACCGTGAACCTTTCAATGGTTTGACATTGTGGCAGAAATAGCCTCAGATTACACCCATTTGCTTGCATGCATGACTGATATGAAGATACTATCTATTCACTTGTTATAATAAAGCACACAGAAGATATTTTGTATGTATGTGTCCTAGCAAACATATATAATCTATGCTTTAGTCCTACTTACTCTCAAGCAGGGTGGGTGCTAATCTGCTGATATGTATTAGCATTTGTGAGCTCTCACAAATATTAGTTCATTAGTGTAGAAAAGACCAGCAGTTGGTACTACTAGCTAGTCAAACTTCTACCGCATGAAACACATGTTTGTGATATACGCTCACTCTTGTAGTTTTCAGGGGATTTTGCGTCTAAGAGGTAGGCCTGCAGTTGCTTATGACCAACAAGGCCTTGTCTTTGCAGTGGCAATGGAAGGGGGTGCCGTCAAATTGTTTGATTCAAGGTCGTACGACAAGGTTTGTGCCTCTAAAGTTCAGCTCGCTTAAGATTACAGATAATGAATTTGGTCATATCTTATGATATGTAGGGACCCTTTGATACCTTCCTAGTTGGTGGGGACACAGCTGAGGTTTGTGACATAAAATTCAGCAATGATGGAAAATCAATGCTCTTAACAACTACTAGTAACAGCATCTATGTCCTTGACGCCTATGGAGGAGAGAAGGTTACTTTTCCATCAGAATTCTTTCCTCTGTCTGCTCTAGATTCTCTTTTTTTGTTCCTTGTATTTTCCATGATGTTTTACGAACTTATCCAACACTAAAAGACTCAACCATTTTACTGGCGCAGCGGTGTGGGTTTAATCTGGATCCCTCTCCGACAGCAATGGAGGCAACCTTTACACCAGATGGCCAATATGTTGTTTCAGGTATTAGATTAAATTCTTTGAGCTTATTATTGGCTGTAGAAGAATTCTCCTATATTATTGTTGGGACTTAGATATTAGACTTAGTGGGTTGGTGATAGGATACCGTAAGTTTACCCTGAGCATGCCGAGGTCTTGATCTCAAGCAAATCAAATGCTTATTTGAAAGTGAACGTGATAAAAAAATTTAGCTGTCTGTATTACTTGGAGATTTTCGATAAGATAGTAAGCTGTATATCGGTGCTTTCCTTGTAACGCAGCTGGAAAAGCTTTTATTTATTTGAAAACATATTATTAATTTGTGGGAGACAATTTATATGTTCAAGTAAACTGTTAAGCCCTGATTTGTCTGGGAGTCTGTGTAGTTGATGGGATGTTGATTGAAATTGTTGAAATTTTTAACACCAGAGTGTAGTCGAAGCTAAAATTTCCGAGACCTTTTTTCTCTTGGTTTCCAAAGTTTTCGGAAATGAAAGTGCCATTTTGTGATAATATACCAATTTTGTGTGATATTGCCTTTTATTATTGAGATAATATGTCAATATTGTGCGTTATAAGTATCTAACATAATAATTTCAAGACTTATCGAGAGCGATGTTATGTGCACAAAGGAAGTTTGTTATGTTTTTCAACAACTTTTGTGATAAGAAATAGATGCACTGTCCGCAAGGGAGTGACAGAGTGGTTGAGGTGTAGGAGTAACAAATTGGATTTCTCATGTTCTAAACCTTGCTACAACGATCATTATAAACCCACTTTGCTCCAGCCTCAGTGTGTAGGTTTACCTGGCGTTTATGCTTGTGGACTGTAGCAGGCTGCCAGATGAATTAGTTGAGTGCGTGCAAGCTGTCCGGGACATAACTGTCGTCAAAAAATCTAATGCACTCTAGGAATATCACAGTAGCATTAAATACTTCCAGAATGCCTGCCCAATCTTTATACCTTTTTGGTCCTATGTTGCTGGAATCTTTCAGCCTGACCTTGGGAAACAAACTCATGTTAGTTGCAAGTTGTGCATAGGTTTCATTTGGACGCACTACACAAATGTTAATCATCTTGATCTTGATGAACTTGTTTTCAGTTGCTACCTTTCAGTGATTAAGGATCATTACTGCTCAAATAAAAAATAGACAAGAGTAAGAGAGAAAGAGTATACCTATAATCTTAGAGCTTGACCAGTAGGATTCTTGTCATTAAGTTGTGAACCAGTAGCCATGTATAAGCACAATAACTTGACGGTCATCAGTATTTCACTCTTTCGGGTCCCTTTCAGAAAAAAAGTTAAATCAAAAAAGAACATTCTTGCACGGAGGCTAGTACGTATTGCAGTCTGCAGACATTGTTTGAGAAAACATTGAGGGAAAAGAAATTTTGGCATTAGGCATTCTGGTGCAAACAATCTTTGGGTATTGGTGATCTCTTTGGGAACAGCGTAGCGACGGGTAATTCAGAATCATAATAGGTCCAGTCTAGGGGATAAATCAATAGGAAATGTTATTTGCTTTGTAAGAATAAGAATTCACTTCAATGAAATGAAAGAGTTTCACGGAAATTGTCATGTATCTGCATTGTATGCACTTTAATATCTTTTTATCTGTGCCTCCGCTTTGATGAGAATTGTTCTTTTGATTCTGCTGTCGAAGCTTGTTTCTTATTTTTCATCCTTTTCGTAATAACAATTGCACACTGTCAAATGCAAGCTTGAGGTATTCTACTCTATGATCTTATTTTTGATACTAGAACTAAGATGCTTTGTGTTCATGTTGAAGGTTCAGGAGACGGAAACTTGCATGCGTGGAACATCAACACACTAAATAAGGTAACCCCCCCC